ACTGGGTCAGATGTTTTAATCTAGTTTTCACTTTCCTTACTATAACTGGTGAGTCACATTCTTGAGTTTAGATGCAACAATCAACCTTTTTTTCTGGCTATAATATCTGTTTGGAGATCCTCTGTTTATTGATAGAACCTTACATCACATCTGGAGGATGACAGTTTAATTATGTTTGGTACCCCTTTGTTATTTTTATTCATTCAAAGACTATAACTTTCCAGAAGATGTGGGAAACCTAACTGTACCCCACTGCCTTGAAATCCCTTCTTATCTGCTGTATGGAAATGCTTGTGGACAATGTGCTTTTGGCATTTTGTTACCCATTCTTTGTGTTATGTGGCTTCTTGGAATGCATGGGATTTTCCTGGTCTTGCATGTTTTAGCAGAAGACCCATTACATTTCGAGCAGATCCTGAATTAACATATTGGTAAGGGCTCTGTAGCAACTGCTCTCACAATACTCTAGAGACACAAGCATCTCCAAACAATTGACCAGTCCTTTCTTCATTGAAACAGGATCTGGAAGACCTAGAGGATGCAGAAGAGGAGCCAGATGTTGAAGAGGAAGAAGAAGCTGCAGGTCCAAAAGATGAACTGTAAACAAGTCCAATCTGCATATCCCCAGACACTATGCTGTGGCTGCCAACTCAAGCAAGTCAGCAAACAAATTCTAACCAGAAGACTGAAACTGGTTGGGAGTCCAAGGGAAATTAACCCATTCCTCTAACCTGTCAAACAAATCTAGTTTTATTCTATGCTGAAGAAGGATCTGATTAGTTGGCAAACTGCTGGGTTTTTTTTCTTGTCTTTTTTCTCTTCTTTCATTTGCAAACTGTGATGTACATTTCCTTAGACTATTGCAGCCTGGGTAGAAGCAGATTGAAACGATAATATGTCCTATTGCCTAACTAACTTGAGAATCTCATGAATAAGGCATCCTTAAACATTAATCACACTTTGTCTAAATGACATATGCTGCTGTTGACCCAGCAGGCTCTTGGTTATTTCCCAGCTTTTTTCCCTTATGCTTTACTGTTGTTTTTTTCTCTCACCCTGGACCATTCCAATGTGGAATAAATCACTAGGCTGACCAAGGGAATAAGTGGGGTATAGTAGGTCCTCTTAATTCATTGCATAGTCTCATGTCCTCTTCATATTGTACAATTGATTTCTGTCATCCAAAGATCTGGAAGGATAGGAAAGGGTTGCTGAGGAATGAGAGTCCAATTGCCTCCTTGCCTAAAGCAAAATCTAACTTGAGTTGCTATCTCACCTGCAATGAAACAAAAGCCTTGCTACCTACACATTATTTTGCAAATGGGTTTTCTGGGGACTTGGGAAATAACTTCTCTGAATGCAACAAAAAGGACACTTGATAACTAAGGAGTTTTGTGGGGATACTTGAGAGCCATGGAAAAGTCTGTATTACAAAGAGGATGATGTGTTTCAATGGAATTCATTTTAAGCATCCATGATGCTCAAGGATGGAACTCATTGGCCAAATAAAAGTTAATTTTAATACTCTTCTGACTCTTGCTCTTTTCTTTAAATTTGGAGGTTAGTTTGAGAAGGACTATAAATTAGGCAGACTGGAAAAGCTGAATTAAGGAATTTTTGCTAGTATTTGTTTGCATCATAGTTTCCATCTAGACAGAAATGTTAACCAGTCCTAGATTATATGGAGTACAAAAAAAGCATTTCTATAGAGGAAAATATATGTACAAATATTCAAATTCAAGGAAATATATTCAAAATGGTTTCTTCTAAATGCTTGTTATTCAAATAGCAGGGGTGTGGTATCTGAATCAAACTGATAAAGAGTCAATACTTGGAAAATATAGGACATACATAAAGAGCAATACATTACACAACTTGGTGTCTTCAACAGTAAGAACCCATGCTAATTGCTCTAGGGCCATCACTCCACCAAATTCCTTTTGTGATAGTGTCTTAGAACTGTAATAGTCCAGGTTAAAATTAAACTAGGTGCAGCGTTTCAACTAATACATAAAAATATAGAATCAAAGATACATCAATTCTGAATTTCCATCCAATTTACTGTATACTATAATTCCATAATTATACTTAGTCTATATATCATCTTAATAAAGTAGCATGCTGGGCTTTTACCATGCTACTATCCTTGCTGCTGCATTGTTCTTGCATTGAAGTGCCCTCACAGTGAGGTGAAAGAAAAGATAATCGGGCTGGATCAAGCAATCTTATTTTAATTATATCACGTCTTGGTTAGGAAACCCAAGAGAAAAAAGCACTAAAATACCAATAGACAAATGGGAGTGTGGTTCTTATGGGAAATTGGTTTATAAGAAGTGTGGAGTCTGAGAAATGAGCTAGTATAGTATGTTAAGTACTACAAATTCTCATCATGGCCAGTATTTTGAATTGCATACAGGCTAGGAATGTTTCTGGTGTATTAGCTTTCTGTGAGTTGAACATTTCTGCTTTCGTATTTTGGGAAGGAGTATAAATATCTTCAGCTGTGGGAAAGATCATTCTCACTTCTGATATTATATCAGATATTGCACTTTTTCATGGAGTTTTGAGAATCGGGAAATTTAATTGCATTAGTGGAATATTTCATAGAGTTTATCTGATGTTGTAGTGATTATGATAAACCAGGACTGGCAACATCTGGGTTCCTATTTCCCTTTAGCTCACCAATTGTAGATAACTCACACTACTTCAAAAGCTGAAAGGAAAGGAAATGGGAGGTTGGATTTACCATCTTCACACTTAGAAGCTACTGGAGAAAAAGTATAAGGAAGGCATGCATTTACTCCACCCCTGCTGCATGTAACAATTCCTAGGTCTAAAGGGGACAATAAAGTCAATCAGTGAGAAGGCCAGTTGGCTTTATTATTAAGAGGAAAAAAATTTTTTTTAAATCAGTGCTTCTGAATGTGTTGGCTGGATTTAAATAAAAACAACAGCAATAGAGCAGCTTTTTATTAAGTAAAGTTGGAAATGAATTTTTAGTAGAGTACTTGAAGTCAATACAAGCCAAACTGAGTAACTACAAAATTACGAGCTGGAAAAAATAGTAAGCAGAAAAATACCAGATTTTAGATTTATAAAAGCATGCAATCTCTTAAAAAATATATAGATCTACTCGGTTGGTATTCCTCAGCTATTAGGAGTTTGCTGTATTTAGTGGCATGTAGTAGTGGTTTGAAAGACTCCCATCAAATTACGCCAGGAGCATACAGCCTTAGGGAACATTCTGTATCCTAGCCTTCACTTGAAAATATACTTTTAAAATGATTTGCTTTTACTCCTTAGATTTGAAACAGATTGTTCTTAATGGGAGAAAAAGAAATAATTCCCTCTGTTCATATTTGAAATAGGAGCTTCCTGGAGTGCTTGGCTTGAATCTAGCATATATAGATCTTTCTTGGATAGAATTGTGAACTTCAGTTTATTTGGTAACTTTTTCAGTTGGCTGCAGCCTATATTTTTGTCTGTGTTTTCTGAATCAGAGTAGATTGTTTAGTCCTGTACATTATCCCAGTATCTTTATTTTGAAATTTGTGATAAAGTATTCAGATACAATTTTAGCTTTATTCTAAGTATCACTTAAAGGACAACTCTGTGTATGTCAGAGAGAGAAATCCTTGCCATCTCAAAGTGCAGAGCTATTATGTTCAGGATCATCAAAGTACAAATTGTTTCTAAAGGTCATCAAGCTTCGAATTCCTTCGAATTCAAAGAAACGTCCAGAGAAGTATGTAATGTGCAACTATTACCTGCTTTGAGAATGGTTGGCCATCTCAATTGAACAATATTTTTGTAAGCAACTATGTCATTCTGTCATATGATGAAAGTGAACGTGCCTCATTACTTGCAGCCGAGGAAAACAAGCTGCTGCTTCTTGTTGAAGAGCAGCAGAGCTTGCTGACAATTTCTTTTCGGTTGTGGCAGAAGAGGATGTCTGAAGCAGTTTTTGTTGCCTAGTTTGTTTTAAATAGCATTTTACCATCAAAACTATTCATGCCTGTACACACATCAACTTAGAATTTCCACAGTAATAGCTCTGCATTATGCATATGTGCTGCTTTGGTGTTTACATGCCATGTCATGCCTCTCCCTGCAACCATGGAATCTTTGTAATTTTTTATGTGGATCTACGCTGTGACTTTCTTGCTTGTAGAATTATGTAAGATGGTTGCATGGCTGTTTAAGTTCATTTTTCTTCTATGAAGATTATAGAAGAGTAGTTTTTTCTTGTGGGTCTATGATAAGGACCAGTCAGTATGTGCAGGGTTATCTTTTCATACCAACAGCTGGACAATCTGTGGCTCTTGGTTTTTTGGTAGTGTGGGGTGGACCCTGAGAGGAAGTCTTTGAGAAAGAACTTGGATTAGGGTAGGGAAAGTATGGCCCTCCTAATATTGCTGAACTTTAACTAAGCAACCCTTTTAATTGGATGTGATGGTTGGGGCTAAGGAGAGCTATTCCTCCATAGTAATTGCAGCAAGTAACTTGCTATCCTTCAGATATTTTGCTCTTCCTTTCCCACTGCTTGTATCTTACACAGGTGAGGGATTGTTTACCTTTTGTGCTAAAAACCACAAGTCTATTTTCTGCCTTGCGTGTTGTTGGTTTTCAGATTTTTAATTTGAGATAACATGAAATGTCCCTAGCCTCCAGATGTTTAAGACGAGAATTCATTTATAGTGAGTTCTATCTCTGCAAGCATCTTTCTGGTATCAGGATGGGAAGGAAATAGTCTGTGGCCCAGCAGCACTTTCTAATTTTAATAATCTAATAGCACTTGATACAGAGATGGATTGCTCCCAGTTCGGCCCGGGTCAGCCGAACTGGTAGTGGAATTCAGGCCTGGGTCGCAGAACTGGCAGCAACCCAGGCCTGCCACTGGGCCACTGCCCTTTTGGTTTTTACTGACTGTCCGTGTGCAGTTCACTGTAAATTGTTCTGTGCATGCGCAAAAAACAATTTACATTGAACAGTGCATACAGCACACGTCTGGTGCACGCGTGGGTTGCAAATTGGTAGTAAAACCGGCAGCAACACACTCCTGATTTGATAGTGGCATCAAAAGTTAGAACAGATGCCATATTTCTTGTTTCAAGCAGGGGATGCCTTCATCCTGCACAACCCAGATTAATTCATAGCTGAAAGCTGTGGGAAGTATCAGAACCTCCTGTTGCTCCACTTGCTGTACTGCTCTATGGGGCCTGCTGAGATACCCCCAAGAAAAGCTGATGACAATAGTTTTCCTTTTTCAAAAGTAGCTTGGCTACCTATTTTTTTCAAGAGAAGAATGAGAGCTAATGTGAATCTCATCAAGTATCTCTGTTAAAAATAGATAGGCAGATTGGAACTTTCTGTGGAAAATATAACTAAAAAGAGTCTTAAAATAGTTTTAAAATAAAATCAAGAAATTGTAATATTATTTCAGTGTTCTGAAAACCTCTGTTGCTTTGGCTAGCTAAGTTTGATTTTGACCCATTCTGAATTTCTTTTTAAAAATAGTTTTCTTCTGAATCAAAGTAGTAAAATTAATAATTCCAAATTTCAACTCCTTGGGTGTACTAAAAATAATGCAAAAAAACAAATATACTGTATTCTTGAAGATGGCTGTTAATGTCTGAACTATCTCCAGAACTACAAATACAAGGCCCACGCTTAGAACTATTGGATGTGTAACAAGATCAACAGAGTCTTTGGTGCGAATCATAACATAAAATGTATGTTATAGTTGAAGCGGTGCATGAGATTTTAGATATAACTGTAGACTAGAAGAATTCATCCCTAGAAGGGAAGCAATTACTATTAGAATTTCTCTTCACATCTTTTTGGTCACTGGTCAAAAAAAAAAAACCACCACTTAATGGAGGCTTCCCTGAATTCACGTGGTTTCTCCTATTGCTCACCAAAATTATGCACCCAGGCACTCTGGATATGTGGAACAGGCAGAAAAGCTCCAGCTGACTATTATTTCCAGTTTCAATTCTTCCTCAAAATGAATACCTTGCAATTCTCAAAAGTCACATTCATATAGTGTAACTTAGATTCCATTACTTCCAGTTCCAGTACAGTTAAGTGGCTATAGTTATGCAGAGCAGGTGAATGGAATAAAAATCACAAAATAGCTATCGTCTTTCTGTTGCAAACCTCAAATTCCTAAAAATTGGTGGTATTTTCCTTCCTACTTCATATAAGAAGTGTATAAATGTTTAAATCAGATAAATCATTTACATTCATATACAGAGATGAGCTTTGAATTCACACTGCTGTACAGAATTTATATGTTGCAGCAGATTAACAATGAAAGAATTGATAACCGACATGAGCAAACATGATTCCTTAGATTGTTCCCCTTGACCTCTTTCTACCCGTATCTTTTGCAAATATTTTTGGATTTTCAAGTTACAAGCAGCAAATTAAAAGCATGAATTCTTAAGAAAATGCCTAGCTGCCTTAAAATCGCAAAATATTGATTGCTATTTGTGTAATAAAATTCTTCACTGTAACAGCTTTTCACTTCTATAATAATTGTTTTTGAATATTTCCCTAGAACAATAGCCATGAACTAGTTTTGGGAAAAGTATAAATGACTGCCAACAAATTCCAGAAAGTAATGTAGAGTATTGTACCCGGTGGCTTGCAAAATCGGAGGCTGTTGGTTGAAGATTGCAGTCCAAGTTGGACCTGCTGACTACTACTCATCGACAGCTGGGCTGTAAACTGAGATTCTAATTTATGTCCAAAAGGGGGAGGATGCAGGCAAGGCGTCTCAATTACAAGATCTCATGGCAACAAGTATGAGCTGAGTGTCCTCAAAATAGCCACAGGGTGGCTATATAACAAGAAATTCTGTGGGGAAAGCATCAGTCCTCCACAGATCTTCACCACGTATTGTGCTGTCAAAAAAACCCTGAAAGGAACAGAAAATCATCACTGGGTTCTTCTTCACCTTTTCTTTGCAAGATTTTGGGAGGAGATACTCCTTTGGATCTCAAGACATTATTATAGTTTTGCACCTCATCTTTGTGAGGTAGCTCTTCTACTTTCTAAATCATTTCATTTTCGTCACTTCGTCTGTCTGTTGGGCTTCCTTTGCCCTCTGTGATCATGAAATACTACTGCCCAAGCTCACTTCCTAGGTACAGGCGATATGCAAGGCGCCTCAAGACTGTGCATTTCCCCAATGATGTTCTCTTCCAGGACCACATTCGACAGGGTGACTTGGAACAAGTAGGACGTTTCATTCGGGCCAGGAAAGTCTCCTTGGATACCATCTATCCCTCTGGTACGTGTAAGACCGATTGGAGGGTGGCTGAGTAGGAAGCTGTTTGATCCCAGTGGAAAATATGGGTTGAATGTTAGGCTGCATTTTTAGTGTGATTTAAGGAAACAAAAGGTTTTCCTTCCTGTCTCTCAGTTGCCATATAGCCCACATTATTTTAATGGAATCACCCAAGAGTGGTATAAGCCTAAAATATTATAACTTCTTATAGTACTCTCATCAACTTATTTCCTTTATGTACATAGTAATTTGCTTCAATATAAATGAACAAACCAGGATGGGCAATAAAATAGAGAACATGCTTCTCAGAAATACTTCGAAGGCTTATGCTTAACTCTAAGTTTGAAGTAGTTTGATGTCTTTGAGGCATTAACTCTGATTATTATCTCAGTGCATGGAAATCTATGCAAGAAAAAATTGCAAGAGAAAAGATGTGAGAAGCATAGAAATGATGACAATTACAGGTTGCAAAATCCCAAGTAAAATTATGGCAGGATGACCTTAATCTTTCTGAAAGACATTGCTTAGTCTTGTCTTCCTAGTTTGGTACATTTCAGATTTTGTTGGGACTGTAACTTTCAGAATTTCCCAATGGGCTTTGACCATGATAAGAATACTATGGGCTGCAGCCCTAATTCATGTAGAAGGTGCCAAATTGGAAATAATTGGTTTAGGTTATTTTAGCCCAGCATTGTAGGACTATAGGAGTCTCTTTGGGGATCATTTTGCTGTTAAGGAGACTGGCTTTCGTTGACCTTTTGTTAATCAAATAATTTTCAAAGAAGCTTAGAAAACTTACTCAGGAATCTTGATTGAACTTCTACTTCCTTTTTTGCCTAAAGTGAATAATCTTAAAAAACATCAACAGATCTATGTGGGTGCAAGTTAACTGAACAGTTTTAGTTATCTTTCTTTACTTGAAAGATTTTTCTTATGCTAAAATAAAAAAATGTGATAGGATCCCCCTCAGTTTATAGTGCCCCTGTCTGTCAGACTAGAGTTTTGATATATCATCTTTTCCAATTAGGAATGGCTGCCATCCATGAAGCTGTGCTTGCTGGGAACCTCGAATGCGTCAAGCTTTTGATAAAATACGGCGCTGACATAAATCAGACAGATGATGAGGGCTGGACACCTCTGCATATGGCCTGTAGTGATGGCTATGCTGACATTGCAAGGTCAGAGATGCTAAGATTGTTTACCTCATTCCCCCTTAGCCAGCTATGCCACGCTCTCAATAAACAAGAATTATATGGCCAAGGAAAACAAGAAGGGGAAAGTGATTGCACTGCTTAATTTCTGGGTAGGGAACTTTGAAGTGACAAGAAAGAAGTACCTGCTGGCTTATTCCAAAAGATGGATGAATCCTCTCTTATCTCACAGTGCTCTCATCCTGACACCAGCAGTGCTTATACCATAGTATTTATTGGCAGATTAACTTTGGTATTGCCAAAATGCCAAGCAAAAAATAAATAAATGGAACCCTTTTATTTTATATAAAAAGTGGTTGTTTTTATGGAAAGAAAAAAATATTTTGATTCACTTCATAACATCACAAAGCCCTCTATATCACTTTAAATATAATGTATAAGAGAAGTTGGTACATGTCAGTTGGACAATGCATGTGGGGAAACCAATTTATTTGATTCCGGCTGCAACTCTTGATAGCAGAAATAGCTCTAGGCTTTTGTGTACCACTGTATTCTCCAGGTGTGAATAGTATAATGGGGTGAACCTTTCTTAAAGAAATTTGAGAATAAAGATGATTGAAATTGCAAATTCTTATTGCAATTATTAAAAATGACTAAAAGACATCTAAACCATATTATACAGTGAACTACTTAAATTGACTGAATATTTTTAAACAGAAGTAGGTCAATCCAGACTCTTTCAATCTCTGCTGCATTTCATGACTTTCTCTTTTCTGATCTTCCAGGTACCTTATCTCTCTTGGGGCCCAGTGTGATGCCACCAACAATGAGGGAGATAAGCCATCTGACCTTATTGACCCAGAATACAAAGATCTTGTGGAGCTCTTCCAAGCAGCCCATGTAAACTAAAACTATCTCTTTTCCATGTGAAATCCAGTTTCTATGGCAGACAGCATAATCTGTTGTACAAAGGGGGAAACTAGCAAAGTTGCTCCTATGAAGTTGGTAAGGGAGTGTAAGATCTCCTAAAAGAGGCCATACTATAGCTGCAATAGGTATACTGTATATGAGACTGACTACTTGGGGATTTCTCAGAGATATACTTGAGATAGTCCATCCAAAAAGAAATGCAACATTCTTTATGGTGGTTCATTGTCCAATTAATTAGATGACATATACTGGTTCTGATGGGTGTGACTGTGAAGGTAGTTTACATATACTGTATGTTTGTGATCTGGATTGGACCAGACACCTCACCTCACCACACAATCCTCACAAAAAAACTATGAAAATATCTACCTTCAAAATGACATCTTTATGTACATATGGATTATTCTAATCTAAAACATAATGTATAATGTCCTATTTTTAATGTGTTGCTGATTCTAAATTTGCTTTTATACTGTATTTTTTGATTCCAAAACAGCTTTTTATTTTTTCAATAAAGGAATTCCCAAAACCTGGAGTATTTTTCATTCTTCTCTTCTCACATTAATGGTAGCCAAGCTTTTGTTGAATTATTTTATTTTGATTATGATGCAATAAAACTCTTCTCGTAGAATCAAAATCCACATGAGAAGAAGAGCATTTTGTTTTGGAATAAGCAAATCCCAGTGTCCAAAGCAACATGGCTTGTCTAAAAATCAAAACAAAAAATGAAAATGAAACTTCATCCAAGCTTGAATTGTATGGATTCTACTGCAGTTAAACCTCGGGACCTGGCTGTATTATCTGAAAAAGGCATTTTTACATTGCATCCAGTTAACTCTAAACTTCATTGAAATTATGCTACTTGGATATTTTTATAGCATTAACGATATGTAATATGCTGTAAGAAGTTACCTTTTCAATGGGAGGAGGGTAAATAATGCAAGAAGTCAGGTAAAACCTGTATGCAGGGATCATGATGTAATGTAACAGCTTAAGAGAAGGTGGATGGTTTATGCCATTCTAATAGATTTTATATATTCCTTTCTGCAACTACTGAGCATCAGGTAACTCTTGAAGCTAATTCATTGTATGTGAAATATCATCTAGCGTAAAGGTCTGAGAGTTCTATTCTCAATAGAGGGTTTGAAGCCCATAAAAATATATATAGCTGCCCATGTCTGAAGAATCCCAAATAGGATAAAACTGATCATATGGTGCCTGCGTTTTTTTTTAAATATTTTTTTTTATTTTTAAGACAAAAACAAAACAACACATCCAAAAAACCTTCCTCAATTTAGTCAAGCATGTCGTTTGGTTACAAGCTTTTGTGCTTCCGTTTTTACATAACTAAATACATCGCTATCATTGAGCATTATGTGTTCAGGTTACCATTAATATTCCTTCATTTCAAACAAACCTTATTTCCTTAAATCCTTAATTATCTATTAAGTAACAATAAATCTTTATAAAATTATAAAATCACCTATCTGTATCTATTGGCCTTACAAGAAATAAAATAAAAAATTTCCATCGACTCATATTGTACATCATTACTTTCAATTAACCACAATGTCACCAATCATCCATAGAGTATACAATACTTATAGTGTGACATATTCAACTCCAGTAATAATTTTATATTATTAATCCAAGTAGTTATTGAATATTTCAATTCATGTATGTATCAATTATTCATTACATCATTAGTCCATTTAACATACAAAAATCTTTTCAGTATAACATGATCACTACTTACAATTATACATAACGTTCAAAGGATCTGGGATAAGTAGATAGTGTTGTTGATGGTGTTAAAGGTATTGCAAGCTGTTCAAGTAAAGCTGCCTTTTGTAGTTGACTGATGATGATTTTGTCAATGCCAATGATATTCAAGTATTATAATTGATTCACAAAATGAAATCATAGCTGCCAGTTTTTTACCTCATATTGGTCTTCATGCACATCAAAGTTTCCCCAAACCTAGGATGCTGTAATCAATGAGTATATGTGAGGATCTAAACAGTGTCGCCTTTTGCAATTGACAGATGGAAATTTGATCAACACACAAATTTTCTAGGTGTCATCCAAGATTTAGTATGGTACCCCATGTGCCAATATCCACTGAGATCGCTACATTTATGCCATAATCTTTTGATTTTCAGATCTTGATACTTTGCGATCTTCAATTTGTGAAATCATAGTTGGTTCTTTAGCTGATGTTGACTTTCATTCACAGACTTATTTCCAAGAACCTAGGATGTTGTAACAAATTGGCATATTATATGAGTAGATCCAAGCAAAATGGCCTTTTGAGGACCCAGATTGTTGGGGGCAATATGCTGACTCTCTGTAAACCGCTTAGAGAGGCCTGAAAGGCCTATGAAGCGATATATAAGTCTACTGCTAAGTTGTAATCACTGGATGGAAATTCTGTCCATATGTAGATTTTTGAAGTGTTGTCCAAGCCTTTTGGTATGGCACCCACCAATAATGACTGGGATCACCATGGCCAGTTTATGTCATAATTTTTTCAACTTTAATTTTCAGATTTTGATACTTTGTGATCTCCAATTCGTGAAATCACAGCTGCCAGGTCTTAAGTTGGTATTGGCGTTCATTCTCATTGAGTTCTTCCCAAGAACCTAGGACAGTGATGGTTAACCTTTTTTGGATCACGTACTGGGGGGATCATGCGCGGGTAGCGCAGGGGGGTTGTGTGTGGGTGTGCTGCACCCATAATGCTATGCACATGCACACACCCTGCTTTTGGCATGTTTTTCACCCTTCCCAGGCTCCAGAGACTTTCTAGGACCCTGGGAGAGCAAAAACAGCCTCCTCTGCCCCCTGGAGGTCCTCACTATGCATTAGATTCCTGCACTTTGAATCAATTGATTTATTTTTTAAAAAAATTCTGGTCTTGATTCCATTAGTTTAAATAGCTTGCTTTTGAGCAGCCAAAATCAAGCATTCAGTCCCTTTTTGAAAGTTCCAATTGTAAGCCATTGTCAGATTTTATTTTTATCCACTTTTCTTTTGATCTTTTGTAGAAATTAGCCACGTAATGCTTTCCCTTACCAAGCATTCTAGTTGGGTTTTTATTACATTTTTTCAATGTTCATGTTATGTTTCCTATATATTTAATAAATTGTGATTTTTACCTTACATCAGTGCTTCTTCTTGGCTGCCTTTTACATAGTCAGCCAATGCACACTATTTTTTCTTCAACTTTGACCTGAAGTAAACCTTTGCCTCCATTTCTGCAGGGCAAGTATAATCTATTAACATCTCTACAGGAATCTAATGCATAGTGAATAGTCATAGGTTTTCTTGTTTTTTGGTCCAAACTGTCCAATTCAGCCTGTGTTCATTTAAATAATTCATGTTGTGTATCATATTGCAGGTATGGCCCAAGTGCTGATGGTATTTCCATTGTTCAAATTCGTTTTAGCAATTTTAACATTACTACTATTATTATTATATATATTTATAGAGTATATCACAGAAGTGAGTACCCCCATCACATTTTGTAAATATTTAAGCATATATTTTCATGTGACAACACTGAAGCAATAACTCTTCAGACCTAAACCCTGTGGAGCATCTGTGGGTCATCCTGAAACGGAAGGTGGAGGTGTGCAAGGTCTCTAACATCCACAAGCTCCGTGATGTCATCATGGAAGAGTGGAAGAAGACTCCAGTGGCAACCTGTGAATCTCTGGTGAACTTTATGCCCAAGAGGGTTACGGCAATGCTGGAAAATAATGGTGGCCACATAAAATATTGACACTTTGGTCCCCATTTGGACATTATCACTTAGGGGTGTACTCACTTTTGTTGCCAGCAGTTTAGA